CTTCAATCCAATCCAAGGAAAAGAAGGCTTTCACTGCTACAGAGACCACGGTAAAGCCGTAAGCCCTGGAAATGATGGGATTCGTTGTGTCTTGGAGAAGAGAGGACAAGGGAGGCAGTGCCTTTGGCAAATGATTTCATTCACTCCAGAACTGCTGGCCTTCTGATGTTTTGAAGCAAGATATGGATGAATTGATAGTCATTCTTTTTATATTCAGGATGAAATTTGATCCTGACATTCTTCTGCAGGCGGCTCCTGGTTCTTATGGGGTATATGAACGCTGATGTCACCCAAGAAAAATTCCTAGTTTATGAACACCTTTTGGAAAGTCTAAAGTCTACCAATACCTTTGAAATGCTTTAAAAAAAAAAAAAGAGGCAGAAGAAGGAAAAGAAAAAGCTTATTTGCTGAACTAAACTTCAATTGGACAAAACATCTGGATACCCAAGGTGCAGATGGAGTGCCTGCAATGATTAACCACACATTTATTTTTGCTTCTATGATGAAGATGGAAGCTATTCACACAGTACTGAGGCACATTATGTTCTCCATCCATGTCTAAGTCAACTTTTAGCCTCCATGTCTAAGTCAACTTTTTTCCTTTATGTTCAATTTTATAATGCTATGTACCTCTTCATTATTATACTTCCCACAATTGTAATTTTACATTTTTAATTATCTTTTGATATGTCAATTTGGTTATAATCCCCAGTTATTTGATCAAATATTGATCAGGGTGTTGCTGTGAAGGTATTTTGTATGTGTAATTAAAATCCATAATCAGTTGACTTTAAGCAAGGTAGAATTTTCTAGATAATCTAGGTAGACCTGATTCATTCAGTTGAAAGGCTTTAAAATCAAAGCTGAGGTGTCCCTAAAGAAGAAGAAATTTCTGTGTGTGAACAGTAGCTTCAGCCCTTGACTAAGAGATCCTAACTCACTCTTTCTGATAACCTGCCCCACAATTTCAGACTTGCCTGGTCAGCACACACAATTGAGTAAGTCAAATCCTTGCAATAAATTTCTTAATATATAACCTTCTACTGGTTCTACATCTCTAGTTGAACCCTAACTTTTATAACAGTGTTGTGTGATTCTTTGGCAAATAAATGTCTTACTCTCTAGAGTATAAAATTCATAAAGGCAGAGACTATACCATTTTTATTTATGTATGTATTTATTTGCTAACTATGGTAACCTATGGTGTAGAATAGTGCCTACCTTACAAAACCTACAAAAAAAATGCTTGCTGAATGAATAATTACAGATTGATAAATTCCTGTATTTTTAACCAAAAATAGTGCCTAAATAGATTTGAAAGCAGGATTATATCTTCCAAATCTCTGAAAGAGATACAAATGAAAAAATACAGTGTAGGCAGTAAAAGGCAGGTAATAAGAAAAGAAACAAGAAGTATAAACTTAGAAAAATAAAAAAAAATTCCAAAAGTACATCTAAAACATTGATTATATGACTTAATGAATATTGGTTTAAAATTCCTTATTAAGAAAGGAAAATATTCAGATTCAGTTTTATGAAAATCCAACTGTTGCTTACAAGAAAAATATGTAAAACAAAATTAAACAAAAAGCTTAAAGAGAGTGATATGGTCAACAATATTTCTAACAAATGTTAAAAAAAATAAAGCAGAGGCAGTGATATTTATATAGACAAGAAAACACCCAAGAAAAAGAATGAGATAAAAAGAGTGAATTTATAAGATTAAAAGGAAACATAAGAATTATGTGTCAGGTTATAAAAATATAAAAAGTTTATATTGATGAAAATAGAAGAAATGGACAGAAATATGTTTATAGTGGGATTCTTCATAAACCACTATTAGTCTATGAAGCATCAACTAAAAGAGATTTAATTGATGGCAAATTAATTAAGAAAAATGAATTGTATGACATATGTTTTTTATTTATGACAAACATAATATTTTACTTTAAAATGTCTTTGAAAATATAATTTGATTATTTTCTAGGAACAATCAACACCCCAGTAAATTTCACAAAATGAAAATTATACTGGCCATTCTCTCTGATCGTAATGAAACAAAACAAAATGTAACAAAAAATACAAAACCACTAAAATTTAATAGTAAAAAAAAGACATATATTTATATTTCTCTGGAGTTAAAATAATCTCTCCTAAATAACTGTTGGCTAAACATAAAATCAAATGCAAAATGAAATGACATGTATAAAAACGTAAGGGATTTAACCTAAAGCTATATTTAAAAACGAATTAATAAAGTCAAAAGCTTGTGTTAATTTTTAAAAATAACAAAATGAGTAGAGAAAATACACTAATCATTTACGATATTGGGAAAGAAGCAACCGTAATACTGTTCTAAGGAAAGGAGGGGTAGAAAGTAATGATGGTGATGTTTATAGGACAGTGAATTACAAAATAGAAAGAGAAAGCTGAGAGATAAAGCCAAGGTCTAGTTCTCTGAGAAAACGTAATGCAATTACCATTCTTTAATAAATCTAATAAAAAGAGATTGTGACAAATACAGAGATAATTTTCATCTGTGTGTACTGTGTTCAATTGTACGCTAATAAATTTGACAATCTAAATGACAAAGAAGAAACTGAAAATCTAAATTAACTGTAAGAAAAATTTTAAGTTATCATGAAATAACTTTCCCAAAAGACTACAGAATCAGAAAATGAATATCTGAATTTATTTTATGGAGAAATTATTTTAATCTTTTGAGAAATTAATAATTCTCACACAACATAAGCTATTCTACAACATAACAAAAGATTGAAGGCTTCTGAGTGTACCAAATAAATTAAGAATAGTCTAAAGAAGGGGTTTAGAATCTCCTAGATCGGTGACCTTAGCTCTCAAACCCCACTTTCCTCATCTGTAAAATGGGAATAATTAAGGTATGAGCCTCTTAAAGTGTCTATAAAATTTAAATGGGGTAATTCATGTAAACTTCAGCTTAGCAGATTCCCAGGGACACAGTGCACAACAAATTTGTTTTTAAAGCTAAAATACCCTTGATACAAAAACTTGTTAAATATAGCTCTAAAGTCAACAACATACTGTTTTAGTTAATGAGAAATAATGTAAAAATCTTAATACAATATATACAATCAAATTCAGTAGATATTAGAGAATAATCAGGCATAAATGCAATGACGATTTAGTATTAAGACATGTGCTGTTGCAATGAGTCCTGCTACATCAATATACCAATTAAGAAAAACATATCGTCACATTTAAAAATCCTATGCCTATGCCTGATAGTGCCTTATAAGTGAGGAAAGAAAGTAAGATAGCTCCTCAATATGATAAGCCAACATCTTAACAACGAAACACTAGAAAGAAACATTGCCACTGAAATCACAAACAATACACAAATACCTTCCATATCCAGTTTTGCTCAGGGTAGCAATGCAGCTAGCTTAAAAAAAGATCTACGTGTCTAAACTGCTGTTACAGGTACAGTTTGCTATGTGACACAGTTCTAGCTAAAAAGCTATAAGCAGAAATCTCTAGGTCTGGCTTAGGGGAGGGGGCAAAGAGGGGGATGGATGTACAGGTAAAGCCTGTTCCTATTCTTACTGGAGGGAACATGGAGTTGCGGAGCAATCACAGGACCATAAAGCCTAAAGCCCCAACCCAAGGATTAAAGAACAGAAAAATTCAAGGAGCCTAGGTTTCCAAGGCATCACACAACAAAGGTACCAGGCCTGGGTGGCCTAGCTTTAAACAGACCATCAATCCCTGATCCGCTGATAGTCATCAATCCCTTAGTTGTTTAAACCAGTTATTTTGAGTGTGGCCCCTAGAGCAACAGCATCAATATCACCTGTGAGCTTAGTAGAAATCCAAATTCTTGGACACTACCCCAGATCTACCGTCTCAAAACTCTGGAGAAAACGCCCAGCAATCTGGGTTTTAACAAGCCTTCAGGGGATTCTGATGCTTGTTTTAAATAAAGTCTGAGAACCCCAGTTTAAGCCATTGTCTTTCAAGTCTCTCTGAAAGCCAAATGCCTTAACTAAAGCATTTTAACTAAAAATATATTTTAACTAAAAATATATTCTGGAGCACCTGGGTGGCTCAGTCAGTTAAGCATCTGCTTTCGGCTCAGGTCATGATCCCAGGGTCCTGGGATCGAGTCCCGCATTGGGCTCACCGAGGAGCTTGCTTCTCCCTCTCCCTCTGCCTGCCACTCCCCCTGCTTGTGCTCACTCTCTCTCTTTCTCTCTCTCTCTGTCAAATAGATAAACAAATTCTTAAAAAAAATAAAAATAAAAATATATTCTGCCGATGAGCATTCTAAGAAAATTCACTCGGCTTTCAGAAAAAAAATTGTCAGATATTTCCTTTATACACAAAATTGAATTTCAGATGGATTCAAGATTTAATACACATATTAAGTAGATACCATGTGAGGACTGAAGGGTCTAATTGCTAAGAATGAACCTCCAAGAAATCTTACATAAAATTATAGAATAGAATAAATAAGATTTGCAATGTTTCTAATAACCATCCTACTGTACTAAAAAATATATGTTCCCTGAAACGGCTATCATTTCTCCCCAATTTCCTTGAGTTGGAAGCTCACCCAAAGCAAACTTCACTTTCAACCTCACCAACACTCCTAACCTCATAGGCCCCTAAACTGTCTGAGACACCACAGTGCTTCTAGGTGTATATTCAGAACAGTGGATAGTCTGGTGGCCCCCACATAAAATAGGCATCTTTTAAATGAGTGCCTTTAAATGAGTGAACTCAGGAATTAACCCCACCATTCATCTCATTCTCTCTCTGGCTGCCTTGTTTCCCATGCGGACTTCTTTTGTGTTCTTTTTCAAGCGTGTGACTCTAGTTGAAGTCACCATTCACTCTACCATCTAGTTTCACTCTTCAAGCTTCACTTCTCTGACTTTAACCCTTACTGATTTGGCCTTTCCATGGACTAGCAGAGCAACAGTGGCCAAGCCCTGAAGTTCCCAGACTTAAATACTGACCTTAGGGGCAGTTCTGAACTCAGGGGCTGTTCTGACATCAGGTAAGAATAGCTCTGTAGGTCCTAACAAGTGGTGTTCTGGTAAATGTTTAACAACCAGCTCCCTCTGCAAAAAAAATATTTAATATTGATATAATTAGGTACATACACACACATTTATTATAAATTTTTACTGGTATAGAGGATATTTTACATCACACAATTTACAAATAATAAAATATACGATACTCTTTTCTGTGAATTCTGTGTAGCTAATTGAATCTCCTGGAATCATTGTGTAGTTTTTGTTAAATTCTTATATTCATAGCCAAACTATGGCTGCAATAGATGAGCAAAAGTGTAGTTCTGATATGACTGTTGGTTGATACATTCCTTTATGTTAGTGAGAGAGTAAAACAATGAAGACATATGTAGGAACTTCACCAGTTTTTCAATGATCTGACTTCTTCGCTCAATCAGAGAATTGTTTTTAAATATTGGGAGAATATTTCCTCAATTTTGTGTTATTCACACTATACTGGTTGCAGCCAAGGCATACCTAAAGGTTTAATCTACATTTTTTCCATCACTTTCTAAAGTCTAGACAATCAACACACGTTAAATCAAGCCTTGATCTGTAGTGTTCATCTGCTTGCATGATGTGAAAACACCCATTGTGGCTGATTTCAAGCTGCCAAAGTAGCATCACTCAATGTGGAGTTGAAAACAGATGTGTAATGACAGTAACAGACCACTATACAGTATTCTACCTTACAGACACAACTGACACAAATTAAGCTGAAAAGCATAGGTAATAGTTAAATGTAGTAAAATAATTAGCAATTGGTGAATTTTTGAGTATATATTAACCTTGTTTTTAAATATAATTTAGTTAATGTTTACATAAATTAATTTTTAATAATGGCTGTCAAAATTCCTGAAATGTTTTTTTCATGAGCAAATTGCTAACCCCAGCTCTCCTGTGTTACCAGAAAAGAGAACTGTGGAATATATGCATCCATAAGTAGACTGAACATCTTCCACCTTGCTAATGTGTTCTTCTGAGAAGAAGTCACATATTACAGAGCATCAGGGAAATGTCCTAAAAATTTGGGTTATTGTGGCTGCATATGCCCTAACCTATTCAAGCAGTAGGCCCTGGGCCTCATGGTTCAGTCTAAATATTTGCAAGACATGAGGGGAGCCCATGGCAAGAACTTGTTGACTGATTATGGGACATCGGACTGGAGTTGTCTTAGAAGCCCAAAGAATGTATGCAGCAAGCAGTCAAAAAGGCTCTTTTATACCTTGCTGTGGTTGTATTATTATTCATATACATAGGACCAGATTCTGGTCAAGTAGGGATAATAAAGTATACTCTTTATATACTGAGTGATTGTTCGGTGCCAAACATTGTGCTAAATACTATACACACATCATCTCTTTAATCCTTAAAACAACCTTGAGTGGTAAGAATTATTATTCCCACTTATAACCAGAAAACTGAAAGAGCAATTATGCCCAAGGTCACGCAGACAGCAAGTGATAAACTAGGATGGGAATCAGCTGTGTACCTCCAAAACCAATGCTTTGCTATAGCACGTCCTCAAGTCTGGAGATCCAGGGCCTTTGAGAACCCATCAGTAAAATCTTGGATGGTATCCATTCACTCTTCAACATTCCTCATTAATCCATTAGCCAAATGTCCCTGCTGTATATCTGTTTTCACCTGAAATTGTTAGTAGCATCCTTTTTCACTATCAGAAGTGTCTAGTTTGGGTGTTAACTTATATGGTCCCTCTTCATGTAGAAGAATGTGTTCTGCATATAAGCAGGAATTAAGGCAATCTGTGTTTCTGCCATGAAGGGAGTTGGCCAAAAATAGCAGCAGTACAAAACCAGCATCTACTCTGTTTTTCTCCACCTTACGAGATCGAGTCTGTACAGACACATCTCCAGGGAATCTATACATTCATGTGTATGTGCAAAAGGGAAACATGGAATTTTCCAAACGTAACTCCACTAATTAAAACATAGGGTCATGCCTTTTGACCTCTGAAGTTACTTTCACTGGTTTCCACTACCTAAACATCGTCATCTTGAATGAATGATTCCCTAGACCTGACTTCTTGTGAAGACCTCATCCTGACCATCTTGGACACATTTCAGAGGAGGTTTCTCTATGTCAAACTGGAGAAGTACAAGCTACCACTCCCAGGAAACCCAGTGGATGCCTGCAAAAGGGGCAACCCCTCAAAATGATTAAGATTATCTAATGTTTTGCGGATGTGAGGTCAACTACATCTAGTTTAGTGGTGTTCTTTGATTATTAAACATAACTCCAGACAGGAAAAAAGACATGGAAATAAAATTTGGAAAGCCTTCAGTGGAAACATAAAAATAATATTGTGGGGAACCAAACAAAAATAATGGTATTTTAATTGAGTATTTATAGGTTAACTATTAATTATTCTCTTAAAGCATATGGAAATTAAAAGCCTTATTCTTGTGAACATATCAAACTTAAAAAGATATAAATACAAATAATCTGCTCTTACATCTTGAATATTATATGATTTCTTTCTCTGTAGATGAACAATGTCTTAAGAAAAATTATTTCTTATGTTAATAGCAAATGGTTTCACAACTTTAAATATGTTCTGTGTAGCCTTTCATTAAATTCAGATTTCCAAACACAGTCCAGTTCTTTTGATACCAATGAAAGAAACAATCTATAGGATATATAACAGTAATGTTTTTTGGTCTTTCCTATCAGGAAAACTACATTTTTTTTCTGGTCTCAAAATGAGCTTATTACTAGTTTTCCTATAATGCTCCAAAAAAAAAAAAAATCGACAAAACAGCAGCCTAAACAGAAAACCCATTTCTCTCCCTAACATTGCCTGGAGCAGTAACACAGGTCTCAGCATACTTGCTTGCGTGCATGTGTGCATCTATGCGTGTGTGTGTGTGTGTGTGTGTATGTGTGTAATATATATATTATACTGCTGCTTTTCCTAGAATATTTTTTTCATTCATCTCTTGCTAACACTGTTTCAGTTCAAGTATTAATGCAATCAAAAATCAAGGAATTAATTATGACATATAAATACCTTAAACACCACACACCACAGATGGCTCATAATATTAGGTTACAATTTAACAAGCACTTAGAGACTAAAGAATAATACTATGGTCAAGTCATAAAGAATATATTGCCATAAAAAATTTTAAACTGACTATTGTGGCATATTACTTTCATTCTTTTTGCTATTGATGTACTCATATTGGGCTGGAATAAATATCAACATTTCTTTACCAATAGGATCTTAATGAAAAATTAAGGATTATTATATTCTTTTGCCAAGTGAAAATTCATGGTTTATTTTTGTCTTGGCACCCATAAGAAAAGAAATGTTTGTATGTATGTATGTATGAGTTCATTTGGAATCTTCCATTCTTATTAATAGCTTCTTTTTAAAGTATGTAAATATGTGCTTTTATTGCTATAATATAATTTTTCATAACTTTTTCTAAACCTTACCTCAAAACGTTTTAGAACAGAAGGCAGAACCCATAACAGCACTGTACCAAAAGCCCAACATACAACTCTGGCCTAGCCATCTAGGGCAGGGGTGGGCAAACTACTGCCCACAAATCAAATGTAGACTAGGGCCTGTTTTCATATGGCTTTCTACCTAATATGTCTTAATTTTTAAAGAGTAAACAAGTCCAAAAAGAATATGCAACTGAGACAGAATCTGGCCTGCAAAGCCTAAAATATTTACCATGTGGCTTTCTAGAGAATTGTGCCAACCCCTCGTCTAAGAGCTCACAATATTGTCAGGGAAATCATGTTTGCATATGCCCAACAATTCATGAGAAACATAGGATTATATAATAAAGTGCTAATTTAAAGAATGGACAAAAGGTAAGGTGGGAGTTCAGAGAAAAGAGGCATTAATCACTACGGTCAAAATTATTAGGGAAAGTCCATGCAGATGATCAGCTCTCAAACTTTCCTGTGGTCATGAATGATTTGGGGATCTTGTAACCATGCAGATTCTGATTCAGCAGTCTGGGATAGGCTCAAGATTCTGCATTTCTAATAAGCTCCCAGGTGAAACCCAGGTTGCTCTTCCACACACTACATTTTGAATAGCAATGACTAAAAGGACAGGGAGCATTTGGAAATGTGAAGAGCAGCATGTAAAGGGGACTGCCTGTTGATGCACTTAGAAGTCATAGTAACAGGCTTAAGAAAATAGTTCAACAGCAGCATAAACGTACCTGTGTTTTCCATGTTTCATGTCAATGAGATGCCAACACCCAGGGCCCAATTTTCCCCAACCCCGCTACCCAGATTATTGACACTAGACCAAAGCCAAAAGAGTCTTTTACATTCATATGAAATACACCAATCATTTTTTCCAGGAGTCCGAAAGAAGGAAAAGCCCTGTTGAAAGGAAAATTTTCTTATGCTGCATACTAGATTGATATGAGCAGTTACCTTGCAATATAAATTTTGCAATTTAACTAGCTTCTTTTCTATCCTTTTACATTCAAACTGATCTAAAATGTTATTTAAAGGATTAAAGTTTTAAATGCTGTAAAATCACTCCTAAACAATCAAAAGCCATTTTTAGTTCTGGCCAGAGTATCCTGTACAAATGAACCATTCACCAAAAGAACCATTTGCTTTCAGGACACTTTAAGCATCCCCAAGCATGCATTTGTCTGAACTAACCTAAACACTATTTAGAGTTGTAAAAATTTTAAGAAGATTTTATTATTTTATTTACTGTAAAATAGATAAATCTGTAATAGTCTCAAGTATGGTTTAGGGGTGTTTTAAGTTAAAATTATGGTGACAGAGTGAATGATCTGGATCCTGCTGCTTGAAAAAGAGTCAAGGGCAATCTTTAAAATCAGGCCATCTTCCTGCTATTCATAAAAGCAAAAACTCATAGAGGACAACCAGATTCCATTACAGCCAGGGAAAAGAAAGTTTTAACCCTGAATAAGACATTTTGGGGCAGCTCAGTCTTTTCCCCCAAGGTTTCCCTTAAAGCAGTAGAGGAAAATGTCTTTTCAAATTACCTCTTTGATACCCACAACCATGATTCC